TTGGATTCATTCTGGGTTAAGCAGTGATGAGCGCGGACATGGGAGAGCAGGCTGAAATAGCAGGCAGATATGGTTTCTGTGGGCTGCGGGTGTAATCTCTTGAATGTCCCATGGTGAGGTGGTTAAGCGGTTCCTTCAACTTGCTTCGTGCTGTCCTACGCATCCGCCGATGGAGTGGGTCCCCTGGACACCAGAAGTGGCAACTAAAATGACGGCATTCACCATTAAAATCGCTGTATAAGGGCACGGAGGTTAATTAAATATGCCACTGGGAAGAGCAAGCATCTATTGACCGCATGTATGCTCCATCAGTGAGGTAACCAAGTTATTTACAGACTTACATGAAATGGTGAACATTGAAGCAAATCAAAGGGAACAGGAAATCCTTGCTGCAAGCGGCTGCATTCACTTTTGAAGCAATCAGTGTGACAGTCAGCACTGTAATATAAGAAATGCCTGTATTTCAGTCAGCAGATGGTTTATCACTTAAGGAGCAAGACCTTCCTTGCATATTCATGAACGTTATATTAGCCGATTGGCTTCAGGAAATCTATAGCCAATCTGAAGTGAATACACTGACGAAGGAGATTAATGTCACTACATATCAGCATTAGCTGTGTTACCTCGTAGTTTTAATACAGGCATTAAAAGAATATTTTTAACAAAAAAAAAAAACTTATTGTAAAGTCATGGCAAAGTTTTGAGATCCTATTGCTATGGCTACAAAATCTGCACTTGTCATGGGAACTGTTGGCGTGGCAACAGAGTGTAGCTATGCAACCAGGCTTCTGAGCGACAAGCTTGATAAAACTTGGTGAGACCTGTATGGGGGGATCATTTAACTTCTTACAAAGCATAACCATAGAGATCTGTGAAGTTTCCCTAATAATCTCACACCAAAATTCTCTAATAATCTCACAGCAAAATTATTCTGTCTGGCTGCAGGATGAGAAAAGAATTGAAAAACAGAGGATATGAAATCACTTAAGAGTGCAGACAATTTACCTAGCCTACAGACTAACTGGTGTACTTTTGAACCCACACCTGAGATAAAGACAATAAAAAGAAGATGGCATATTAAATTTAGGAAATGCCCTGCAGGTGACACACACCACCTCAGATGACACCAGAGTCCAGCCAGTCCCGCAGTCTACTCTGTCTCATTCAGCGGGAGACCCTTCTCTGCTAAACGGCACAATTTCAGCCAGCGGCACGTCTATAAATACATCGTGGGCAATCTAGGCTGGGACTTCAGGACAGGTGAGAATGAAATCCACTGAGACTCTGCGAATAGCTTGACAAATTGGCCCTCTGCTCTTCACGTTCAGGCTGCATCCCTCCGCCACTATCCCTCCCTCTATCTGTTTTCCCAGCTCTAAAAATGCCTCCGTCTCTCCTCTCACTTCTTTCACCCTTTGTTCCAAAGAACGATGGGAAATTCATTAAAAAAAATCTTTGGCAGGACAAATCAAGTATTTAAAAGTCAAGTGTTTGGTGGACGGCTGCAGAAGGGATCGGCCTGGTGCTGATGGATTTGTGACGTTTGCTGTTCACTGCTCCTGCTCTAGTGAATTGAGGATGGAAAGTGTCTGTTCTGCATGTTCAATTGCAGAGAGCAAACTGAATATTCCAGAAACTCACCAGCTGCGCAATCAACTGCCTCCATATTCATCTAAACTGAAGTAATTTCCATCTGATTCTCTCTCCTTCATCTTTGTAGCGACAGTATTAACATCGGTTGCTTGTTATTGCAAATGACTAAATACTACTGGTCTTAGATACTTTCTTTTCAAATGATGTGCATTGCAGTATTGCTACTTTGAAATGCGTTTCTACATTGTTTGGTAGCAGACTAGCATTACTTTGCAACGTAAATATTCTCTGTTCGCGGTAATCTGAAACCAAACTACACGTCTCCTAATTCAGAGGGGGCTGATACGAATAGAGGTTGATGCACAAGTGACACCTAGCGACCATACGTGGCAGTAGCAGTTTAGGGGCATTAAATCACTGGCATCGAACATATCGCAAGAGACGCAGCACTTTTTTTGCTGCGACCAAGAGGTACCAGCCTTCATGGCGTCTTGTCAGGTATCGCGTGACCAATGACCAGCAGCTCTCTCTACCTGCAGCAAAACAATACATTTGAAGAAATTCACATGCTGTTCGCGACCTATAATTATCAGGCTAAATTACACGATTCATAGAAACGTTCCTTTAGAATTCCGTCCGTTATATCCCGTGATGTTCATACCTTTATGAAGTAATTTCGAGATTAAAAATAAAAAGGAATGCCTATTTTTTCATCCTTCCATCAATCTTATTAATCATGCATCATTGTATAGAATTGCAATTAATGAAGAAATTAATAAACACCATATATTTGTAAATTGCATGCCTAATGCTCTATTGTCAAGATGCTACAACTGAAAATCTGATTGCTGTCAGAGAAATGTTGCATTCGGTGAGGTGATAAAGAATGTATCACTCCCCCAAGAAGAATGCAACAGATATCTCATCAAAGTAACCTTCCAGAGTTTAGATGCCCTGAAAACTATTTCCCTAAATATTTCAGATAACCGTTGTACTCTTTAGAAACCAAACCTCCCAGTAGGATCTACATATTACCCAACCTTGGCTTTACTACCCAGGAATGGGTGAACTTTTCTGAAGAGACTTTGGTTCTGAAGGGAGTTAAATGCATCACATGATCCTTTCTGCCTGGTTGTTGACAGACTAGATCCCTGTACTTCCTTACCAGCCAGACCTTCTGCATGCAGATTGTCACATCAGCTCCGACATATATGTGCTATGAGCATCTTGTTGCCCTTACGTTGAGTCACTTCCCTTGTCTCCATCAACTAGCTGCTCCCTGTGGCCAAAAAACGTTCTAAGGACTAGATTCTGCCCTGTCAATGGTTCATGCTCTTGATGACTACAGGATAACTCATTAGAACATGCTAGAATCAGGTCATCTCCAATCTTGGGGTGTTCCTGTACATCTCATCTAAAGAGCTCCACTGTATATGACCAGAAGAGACAAATTATCGGATGTAGCTTTTATCAGTACCAGAATTTTGGAAATACAGTGGTACCTTGGTTTATGAGCATAATTCGTTCCGGAAACATGCTTGTAATCCAAAGCACTCGTATATCAAAGCGAATTTTCCCATTAGAAATAATGGAAACTCATATGATCTGTTCCACAACTCAAAAATATTCATATAAAAATTATTAATACAAAATATAAAGTAAAAAATACATAAAACAAATTAACCTGCGCTTTACCTTTGAAAAGAATCGTGGATGGTGTGAGGGAGACGAGAGAGGAGAAGAGGAGGGTTATTTTGTAGGACGACTTTCACTATCAGTAACGGAATCTCTGCTATCTGTTGGCTCACTGGAATCTTTTTCTGTTTGTGCGACTTTAACAAGGAACCCATCCAATGACAGTCTCTTTTGCCTCCTTTTCGATTTCGCAAAAATGTGGACATTACATTGTCGTTAAACAGATTCATCGCTCGCACTGCTACGCCCTTATTCAGGTGTTGCTTTTCTACTAAATTTTGACTATACGAGTGAGGCATGCCAACTGAGACCGAGCATGGGAGACGATTACCCACAATTCCGCAGCGTGAGAAAGTGAATAACCATTGGTTCAGTTGTGATGACGTATGCTCGACGTCAAAACAAGAAGCGCAAGCATGCGCTTTCTGTTTTGAAGCCTAGCGCGCGTAAAAACAAACAAGGAGCGCATGTGTGCCATATGATTTTTGATGATACTTGGCGCTCGTAAACCATGATTTGCTCGGTTTCCGAGGTTCAACTGTATTTCTTTGTATGTTTCTAAATGTATATTTAGACTCCCAGGCTGGGGTAGATGTTGTCTAGGAAATGCACATGTTCTCCAACCTCATGACATTAGCACTTCCATCTATCTGTCATCCATCCATCCATCTATCCAATTCCCATAATCAAGTACCAAACAGAGTCTTACAATAAGCTTGAAGCATACTGCAATAAGCACAGTGCAAATTCAGCTGAAGGAACAAAATCAACTCAAAACACGACTGGCAATTTAGAGAAAAATTCACTTAACTGCTCATCTTTGGAATGCAAAAGGAAACTGCAATAATTTAAGAAAAACCATGCAAACACAAGCAGAACATACACACATGGACCCTGGGCCAGCAATCAGCTTGAGTGACACACTATGGCTGTATAATAAACTCAAAATCATTCCTTCTTAAACATACTATTTGTGCACAATTCACACAGATAAAACAATAGTTCTTATGGACTTTATCTAATAACATAACGACAGGAAGCTGGATGTTAGGAGATAATCTCCTGCATTGGGGATTTACGGTATGTCTTTTGCCATGAAACATTCTCAGTGATGTTCTGAAGGTGACAGCAGCAGTTTGCCACACATACAGAAAGCATTTTGTCATTTGAACTATGCATTGTAAAAAAAGTCAAATATTTGAATTATTTGATATCACATGATATACAGAATATTGAAAGAGCATGCACAAAACTGCATACACAAAACGTGTCTCCTCCATTTCAATAAATCGACAAGGCGATCTGCTCAGCTAGTGTGCCGTTATACAATTAATTACAGTGTAATTGTAGCGGATTTCATAGTATTAATTAGTAAATCTGTTCACTTTTTCCTGTGTACATTTACATCCCCGAGTGAAATTATTAATTTGACGACAGCTACAGTCTCATAAAATGAAGACAAAGCATTCCATTTCACTCAATTCGTGGGTCTGAGGTCATTATTGGGAGAAAGGACTGGGGCTGAAGAAGCTTCTCTAGGAAGAGCCTAAAGGTCTCCTTCTCTCCGTGGCCATCATTCAGCTGGAAGCCGGCCACTGCGGCCCAGTCCCGGCAGCCAGGAGTCCCACAGTGCCACCAGAACAGTGGGCCGATTCTCCGCTATCCCCTTTAAGATGGTTTAAAGGCGAGCAGCGACTCCGATTTCTTTCGGCCAACCTTTTTTTTTATATATAGAGACGAGGAAGCCAGACTGAACCGCGACCGCCAGCCACGTCACCCACCTACTTCGGATACTTCTGGTTGTTTTTTTTAATATAACTGGAAGGAAAGCAGCAGACTTTCTATAAAGGATGCATGCATGTTTTTCAACAAGGATTTAAGAGAAAATAACAGTTGCCGCATGTTAATGAGAACCCGGAAAAATAGTTTAGAAAAAACTGATTAACTTTGGGGGTCATAAATTTAATCAGGCTAAAGATTAAGATAGTTCTACGGAACTGTGCAGTGTTTTAAATCGTATTCGTTTTTACCGCGACTTTGGTAGATCATAAGGAAAAGCCGAGGCGTCTTGTTGGTTAGAGTTTTTAGAAGAAATAAATCTCCTGAAAACTACTTTGCTGGCTTTGGACAAAATGAACATTTTTCGTCTTTTGGGGGACGTGTCCCATCTTGTGGCAATCATCATATTGTTTCTTAAAATCTGGAGGTCTAAGTCCTGTGCAGGTATGTAGTTTGTTAGTCTGCCTTTCTGTTTGATGAGACAGATACTGAAAAGTTTTGTTAGCTGAAATGTGTTTTGCGGAGTGTATGCTTTGAATCTTTGACTGGTGACTTAAATCTTCAAGGTTTTTAGACTCCATTTGTTTTATTTTACTGCAGTTTTAACTATGCACTTTGTTGTTTACGCTGAATCGAGTTAACATGATTGCATACGTTTCTGTTTAGCACTGATGAGCTGTTAATGCATTTGCACTATTAAAAAAACTCATTAATTCATGTTATGAAATTCGGTCACACTTCTCCTCCCCCAGCTTAGAATATCCGTCTGCATTGATTAGTTCTTCACTTCCACGTTTGAACTCTAATCAGACGGAAAGTAGTGTACTACTGTATTAGTTTACTTGCTAATGTTCCTTGTATTTATGCTTCCAGTCGTTTTATTGAGGAACTTTACATTAACTTCCTTTATCAAGTTAAAACTAACCTTCTGGATCCATTCATTCATCCCTTTTTTCTTCGGATACTTTCAGTCACAATCCCGGGTCCTTAAACACATTTGTAATAATCAATCAGTTATCTGTGCACAGCAAATTGCACACTGTGTCAAGCTGACCGTACCAGTTACGGGATTTTCTTGTGTCCGTAGGTATTTCTGGAAAAAGCCAGATGCTGTTCGCTTTGGTCTTCACCACTAGGTACCTGGACCTGTTCACCAGCTTCATTTCAATCTACAACTCGGTCATGAAGGTGAGGAACCTAGAATGTGTCAGAGCTTACCCCCTCAGCAATTATATGGCTGGGAAGCTTTTTTTTTTTTTTGCATGTTCTCACGCTATATGTAATAGTTCTGTTGAAACACTTTGTGCCCTGCATTTTGGCTTGTGCAGGCCTCACCTGCTTAAGTGTACTCCTGCAGAATAAAGACATACAGTTAAGCTGATTGGCGTTTCTTTACCACCCATAGTGTCATTTTGTGTGTGTGTCTATGCGTGTGTGTGGATTAGGTTCACATTACATTGTGGGGACCAAATGTCCCCTACGACATCATAAAACTTATTATTTTGACGTTGTGTGGATCATTTTTTCGGGTCCCCACAAAGACTGGAAAAAAAAAGCCAAAAGTCTTGTATTTTGTTTGGTTACTTATGGTTAAGGTTAGGGCTGGGTAGGGGTTAAGGTTGTCATGTTGGGATTAGTTTTCCCCATAGAAATGAATGGTGAGTCTCCACAAACATATAATTACAAACCTGTGTGTGTTTGAAATTCTGCTATCTGGGAAGTTCTCCCGCCGATCCTGATGAATACAGTAGTTCACTAATTCTATGCAATTTTATTCAGTTGTAATCAGTTAACTAGTTAAAATGTAGAGATGACTTTCAGGTATGTCATGCACAGAATGATTATGAAAGAGTAGTAAGGAGGACCCTCTTTCACATTTTATAATGGTACAGCAATTACCGGTGCATTATTTTCTGCAATAATAAAACTCAACCCAAACTTAACACGTTAACCTACGGTTGTGTTCAGAATAATAGCAGTGTGTCTAAAAAAAGTGAATAAAGCTCAAAATCCTTAAAATAGTTTATATTTCCATACAAGCAAATGCATTGGGAACACTACGAATTCTATTTCAAATCAAAACATGATGAGAAATTCATCGCATTTGTGTTACTCCTTTACAGAAAGTGAAAGGGAATATTAGGCTGTTCAAAAAAATAGCAGTGTCCACATTCTTCTTTACAAACTCAAACATTCAGTGTATGAACTGAAAAATAATTAAGATTTTGCTTTCCTTTGAATCATTGAACTAATATTTAGTTGTATAACCACTGTTTCTGAGAATTGCTGCACATCTGTGTTGTATGGAATCGACCAACTTCTGGCACCTGTAAGCAGGTATTCCAGCCCAGGATGATGGGACTACATTCCACAGTTCTAATGCATTTCTTGGTTTTGCCTCAGAAACAACATTTTTGATCACCCCACAAGTTTTCTGTTGTATTAAGGTCCGGGGATTGGGCTGGCCACTCCATAACGTCAATTTTGTTGAGCAACATCTTGGTTCCAGACCGTTTACTGGTGTGTTTGGGGTTGTCTTGTTGAAACACCCATTTCAAGGGCATTCCCTCTTCGGCATAAGGCAACATGACCTCTTCAAGTATTTTGAGGTATTAAAACTGATCCATGATCCCTGGTATGTGATAAATAGGCCCGACACCATAGTATGAGAAGCATCCCCATAACATGATGCTTGCACCACCATGCTTTACTGTCTTTGCAGTGTACTGTGGCTCTAATTCAGTGCTTGGGGTTCGTCTGACAAACTGTCTGTGGCTACTAGACCCAAACAGAACAATCTTGCTTTCATCAGTCCACAAAATGTTGCACGGCTTCTCTTTAGGCCAGTCAATATGTTCTTTGGCAGACTGTAACCTCTTCAGCACGTGTCTTTTTTTCAACAATGGGATTTTGCGGGGGCTTCTTGCAGATAGCTTGGCTTCACATAGGCTTCATCTGATTGTAACCAAACTCACAGGTAACTTTAGACCTTCTTTGATCTTCCTGGAGCTGATCATTGGCTCTTTGCCATGATCTTTGCCATCTTGGCTATTCTTCGATTCATTGGAATGGTAGTTTTCCGTTTTCTTCCACGCCTTTCAGGTTTTGGTTGCCATTTTAAAGCATTTGCGATCATTTTAGCTGAGCAGCCTATCATTTTCTGGACTTCTATATGTTTTCCCCTCTCCAATCAACTTTTTAATCAAGGTACATTGTTCTTCTGAACAATGTCTGGAACGACCCATTTTACTCAGAATTTCTGAGAGAAATGCACTATAACCAGAATGTACAACATTTGCTGCCTTCCTTCCTTAAGGCCCATAATTGGCACCTGTTTTTTCACAGAACGCATGACCTCACTAATTGAACTTCACACTGCTATTATTTTGAACATGCCCCTTTTCAATTAATGATTCAATTACACAGAATCAGCACCATGCATGTCATGACTGTTGGGTCTGTTGGTTTTCTATTACTCTACTATACCTACTAGTAAATAATTTGCCACGTGGAAGTATAATTTCTACCAAAAACAGTGATTGATCAGGTTAGTGATGTCGTGCTGCTATTATTTTGAACACAACTGTATGTAACTGATGTAACTAGGTCAGGACCTGGTATTACTTCATAGATATAGAACGTGTCTTTAATATTATGTATGACATGATGCTGCACAATCATTTTTATGGGACAGTAACACGATTTTTTTGTTGCCCTCTGATAATGACACGAATATCCTTCCAGCTCTCACTGGAAAAACAATTGACTAATGACTTAATGTGTATATCTGTGTTTTTTATGACAGTTTAATTTGCCACTTGTTTGTGGTTCTGCATGTTTGACTGATGAACAGCCGCTATACTCTTTACACACGTCACACTCAAACCTTAATATTGCTGTTAACCATGCAACACACAAAAGATAAGTGACTTTTTTCTGTTATTGAAATGAAATGCTCCAATTATGTAAGTTCTTATGGGAAAAATTTACTTTACTAAAGGAATACTAATACTAAAGGAAGTCATTTAAAAGGAGAACAAAATCAAACGATTTTGTTAATATCTGGCCCATGGAGCTATATTTACTGGTCCATGCGATCATTAAAACAGTGAAATTAAAATGATACTTTTGGGATCATTGACTTGTGCCATCATAAATCACCTAACTCCACCATATTGTCCACAGGTGGTGTTCCTGGTTTTGGCTTATGCCACTGTGTACCTTATCTACACGCGCTTCCGGAGCTCCTATGACTCTGAGAACGACTCGTTCCGCGTGGAGTTCCTCCTCATTCCCGTGGCTGGCCTGTCATTCCTGGAGAACTATGACTTTGCGCCCTTGGAGGTAGAGGAGTTATTGCCTGTCATCTGTGAAGAGAGAAACGGTCTGCCCTCCCTTTTAATAGATCTGACGTGTCCTTCCTGTCTCGGCTGATCTGGGATCTGTGGAAACTGTGTCTTCAATCTCTCTGGGTGTTTCTCAATACCAAGAACGCAAAGGTCGTACTTGTGGTCTTGGCAAGACCAGTTTTGCTAACTTGCCTTCCAAGAATGAACTTGTAGTGCATTGAGCCATGGGATTAGTCTTGTTCGGCGAGCATGCAACCGATGTATCCTTGATATCTGGGGCAAGGCAAGGACAACATCTTGAGGATATTTACCCTCCTCTGTACTTATGTTCTTGAGTATTGGAACTGGTCTTCGGCAATGGAAGACTAAGTAAAACGGCTAACCGAGAACACAAGTACGGTCAAGTGTGCATATTGAGAAACAGCCCTTCGTTCAGTTCCATTGCATGTTGCACTTTTCCTCGTCCTTCCAAGCACTTTGTTCGTTGTTGCCCGACACTCCCATATGCATAACACATGCTTCATGTAATCTTTCTGGTGCGTAGATCCTGTGGACCTTCTCCATCTACCTGGAGTCGGTGGCTATCCTGCCTCAGCTCTTCATGATCACTAAGACGGGAGAGGCGGAATCCATCACCACGCACTACTTGTTCTTCCTGGGCCTCTATCGCGCCCTCTACCTTGCCAACTGGGTATGGCGATATCACACGGAGGCCTTCTTCGACCAGATTGCTGTGGTGTCCGGTGTGGTACAGACCATCTTCTACTGTGACTTCTTCTACCTTTACGTTACTAAGGGTGAGTGTCCAATAGGGGAGGCGTGGAGGATGATATGTAAGTTCTGTATTGTTGTAGTTAGTGTGGAGACTGAGGTCTACTTTTTATCCCATGTTTTCTTCTTGTCCCCCCCCCCCTCATCTTTTGCAGTGCTGAGGGGCAGTAATAAGATGACTCTTCCCATGCCAGTCTGAGCACCACCTGAAGAAACTTCCCCCACCCTTTTCCCAGTCCTCAAATTACCTCTGTCTTAATCAAATATCACACACTACCATGTAGAGGACCTTGTTGTACTCCTCTCCAATACTAAGGCAATTTGAGCAAATAAGAGGTTTCCTTTAAATGTTTTGATCAATGAGCAAAAGTGAGAGGATCTTCATTATAGGTACAAAAGAATTCACATCAATACTTTGAACCTGGTATGATGTTAGTTCGGAACATTTGTGCATATTTAAATCTGAGACTTGGTATTCTACACTTTCGTCAGGTAAAATCTGTCATATAAGTGTACTGTAGGTGTTAAATTAAATCCCATGGGTAACATTGTATTGTTGAATGTTGTCACCCTGTTAACATTTCATGTTGCGTGTCTGAGCAGAATAGATAAGCAGTATACAATGTAATAAAAAGGAGCCATCATCTTTTGCAATGGTGCTGCAGGCCAAATTATCGGTATAAACCCGAAGTAGCTATACATGTGTAATTACGTAAACTCACTGAATACAGTGTTAGGGCATATTTAATTCATATGCTCATTGTCGTCTTTAGTGCAATATATATTGTCCAAAGTAACATACAGCTGAGTAGAGAGCAGGATCTGTCAGGGTCCCAGGTGCGATTGGTGAAATAACTGCTGTTATGGGGATATAACAGAGAGTCTTTCCAAACAAAGAGCCACATGTCTATCTATCTGGTCTCATTTTTCTTGTTTAATATTGTTTTGGGCTTATGATGATAGTTTAAAGCTGTTTTGATGTAAGGAGATATCATTTTTATGTTTAACATTTTTTAATATAAAAAACTCTGATGATTTAACAGCGTTTACTCACTTACACATGGTAAGCGATATGTAGTAAATGTGTGACACGCGACATTGAAATGCATATGGAAAAAGTCATTGTTTTGTCCTTGACCATATAACTCCATAAATTCTGGTTTAGAGATATTGGTTGGGATCACGCATCGTGTGAGTCTTTCCATTTTTAAAACATGACTGGTCGATTTTCGTTTTTGTGAAATTAGCAGAAATAAAGGAATGCAAGGGAAGGACCAGGTTGTGATGTACCCCTGCTTTCTGAAATTGTCTCTATAGGACAGGTTCCAATCCCCCCCCCCCCCGGCTCCCCACCATGCCCCTTACCTGAGTAAACAGTGGGAAGATGAATACATCTTATTTTCTTAAAACACTTGAGAATTAGCTACTTTGCTTACTTTATAATGAGCAGGTTTGTAATGTTTTATATATTTTATGACATAAATTCCAGTCTGGCAAGTAGAAAATCAGTGTCTAGCATAGTCCAGCATATATTAAGAGTATTTTTCACTTAAATTCATATGCATCAGTGTGGCCTGTAATTGACACTGTTAGGTTTATATCATGTCACATTTGAAATTTGTTTTGTATTTTCACCACCCAAAAGCATGCTGGTCACTTCATATGAAGCTCAGTTTTACTGGGTACAGTTGGTGTTCATGGCATTCTCTACTGGTGGTCGTATGCTGCTCCACTTTTGTTTCTCTTGTCACATGACTCAGTCCATTTTATCTCATCTGTCTGAAGTGTGAAACTTGTGAATCATTTTCCCAGTAATTGTTTCGTTCTGGCTAATTTGGCCAGTGTAGTTCTTGAGCCCTTTGTGCATCTTCAGCCTTTCAAGAGCAACTCTGCCTTAGATAGGGTACTGTTCAAGTTGTCTGGGCACTATGTGTGAAAACACTATTGAATATCAGGATATATGCAATACATAGTAATACAATAAAAAGAAACAAGATTTTTTTTTTCTTTTTTCAAAGTTATTGTTGGGTGGCTAAAAAACACAGCTTTGGTTCCCAAACCTTGAGGTAAAACCCTTTCCCTGAAATACATGCTGTCCATAATCAAAATGCAGTTAAAACCAAATTGAGGTTTTTGATACAACAGCAGCAGGAGGCTGTAACATACTGGACTTATGATTAATCAAACCACTGCTTAAAAAAAATGAAATGGTCATAAAAACTTACTACATTTGTGAGGATTGTGATAACTTTGTAGAACTTTATCATTCTAAACCAGTACATCTCACATTCTGTTAGTTCTGTTCTCAGAAAACACCCACATAAATTTTTTTAAATTACTGCCAATGAAAAGTGCAATAAAGATGGCTTTTTACAAAAAAAAATCTGCCTTTGAAACCCTCAGTTTCATAGTACAGTCTTGTAGGGAACAAATGTTGCACTTACACTGAAGTGTGAAGACGGAACAATATATTTTTAAATCTTAACAAAAAGTGAACTTCTGAACATAGACCCAAAAGTCATGAACTGTACAGTATGAATTTTGAGAAAACACAAAATGACAAAATATATACATTTTATTCAGCTTGTGTAAAAAAATCCTAAGGAAATATCGTTTGTTTGTATACATTTCTATACTAGGAGTTTGTATAAATCGAACCTTCCATCCAACCCCTTAGCCAGGGGAAGTGTCTACGACTGACCACGCGGTATTACATTTTTTCATAAGGAAATGTCTCCTACCAGTGGCTTAATCGAGACATTGCAGGTGTATAGGCAAAATGAAATGAAGATTAAACTTATTTTACCATAAAATGCTAATTACAACAGTTTTTATTCTGTTCGAGTTTTATTATTTTAATATTTTGTACTGCGAACTCTTTTATGTTGGGGTACTGTAATTCTTGGTTTTCGTTTATGTAACACTAAACCTGTCTTGAAATCTTTATGTTAATTGTGTAAAACCGATACATGAAGCAAAAATGAGGGCTACAGGTGTCCCATACTGTTTGGTAATTGTAAATAAATATATTTTATAAACCGTAGATGTAGTGGCTTCCTGTAGCTAAATAGGCGTTTTATCAGTAGTTCTGCTAATACTTTAAAGCAGGGGTACCCAATCTTATCCGCAAAGGGCCGGTGTGTATGCAGGTTTTTGGGATAACCTGTAGGTCAGCTATTCAAACCCAGGTGTGAGGACTCTCAGTCAATCAGTCCTATAATTAGTAATCTAATTAGGGAGTATTAGCGAAAACCCGCATACACACCGGCCCTTTGTGGATAAGATTGGCTACCCCTGCTTTAAAGTCTCTCAGAAAAGTTATCGCCCACAATGAGAGCAAAATCGACACACCAATATCAGGCTTAGTAGCAAACGCTTTTAGTGGTATATATATTTATTTACAATAATTCTCTCCCTCTGGTCAACTGTGGAACGCCAAGAGTAAATGTATTTAATAAATAATACTCCAGTAATTACACGAAATACGAAAATGTTTTTATTACATTAGATTTCTTCATTATAAATCGTATTAGCCTCCAATTAAAGGGGCAGGAACAAAAGAAAAAGTTTTGTAACTAGAGTATACCAGCAAATCCAAGTTAGAGTCTAGTTGAAAGGTCGTGAGCGCCTACCTCACCTGTAGGATATAGTAACTTTCAATCGGATTTATGGTTAATGCAAACATTATAAAGCATGCTATTTAAGTTAGATTAAATACATAACGTCTTGCTTTAGGAGGCAGATTATTTCCACAGCACAACAGATACATGCCGAAGTCCGGCAGGCTACTTTCACGACAATTAAGCAAGTCAGAGTGAGCTAAAAAGTGCGGAAGTGACATCATATTTCCCGGCCGTATTCCGTAAACTGCGCAGTTAACTGGTTAAAAAAGTCCCATGATCCTCATAAACCTCGATTACAAGTTTACAAGTTACAACACGACGGTAGCCGGCTACGACTAATGAACATCACCCTTTTTTGGTGAGACCGAAAAACACTCCTGCGAGCTTCTGATCAATGACGTCCAGTCGGACCACGCTACTGGGGGCGCGTCGATTGGCCAGTGGCACCTGGGCTCATGACAACAACTGTCAGGTTCCATCCAATCCCCAGCCTCACTGGTTTCCATACACTGTTTGTGGATTACGTCATAAGCAGAGAATTAAGATCGTATCTGTCAATGGAACCTACAACAGTGTCAGTCGCCACCTTGAGGCAGGTTTGCAACGTCTCTTCATTCCCTGTCTGGCTTCATAGTTGTACAAAACACAAAGAATGTATAGGTACACCCGCCCCACGTAGTGTACTTTCTACCAATTTTGTATTGCTCAACTTTGCATCAGCTCACGACAGAGTAAAATGGACAAAAAGCAGTACTTATCAGTGGAGAACATGGACCCTGCGTTATCGGAGCTCGCAGAGGAATTTTCTCTGGGCGATATCGATGGTGAGTGTTATTCGCTGTACAGTTATCGTAAATGACCAAATATCTAAGTTGCCGGTAGTCTGAATGATGCTACCATTTGTCAAAAAAGTTGCATTATACTCAAAAATAAAATGAATCTTCTGTCTTTATACTTGTAGAAATTTCAGCATTTGTCTTTCATGCGGTTCTAATTTGTGTCAGGGCAAATACTAAGATGCACCTTTGCGTTGCATCTGTGCTTTTGAAGTATTTTAAATCTATTTTGACACAAGGATGTTGTTCAGCTTTAAAATAAATGCCAGTCTAGCACAGCGCTATGATTTTCGTTTACCGAGTGCATATGGTATACTTATACTTATGGTATACTTATCTCGGTCACACTTTTTAATATCTGAATACTGTGTCCCTAATACTGTGTCCCTAATACTGTGCAGAGAGTGTCACCGGTGCGGAATCTCACTGAGTAGAAATTGCGTATTGCAAATATTGTATTTTTTCTTATTTTTGCGAAGGGAATTCATGGAATGCAATTATAAAGTGTTTGACCTTTCAGCTTTCCAGATTAAGGGGATTTAACCATTGTTAAATTTTGAAATAAAGACTTTAAAAGTAGTTGCATACATTAGTGACTCCAGCCAAATGATTCAGAAAATAGAAAATTAAGCAGAATCTGATATCCATTCATTTTCTATCCTCCCTGTAAATTTAATCCTGGAATAATAACTTGTATAATAATGATTCGCAAAACGCAAAGAAAACAATATTGTTTTGAGTTTACAATATAGCATTTTCAGGGATCACAGGCAGAATTGTCTTTAACTTGTACTCTGCACTCGTTTTCATAACTTTCAGAGATTATTTTATATGCGCCCCGTGCTGAACATTTCGGTGTCACAGTTAGAGTGTGTCTGGATCTGACCGCACTCTGCCGACATGGTGTGAAGTCTCCATGTTCTCATGATGTTTGTACGGCTTCCTCTGTCCTCTCAGATTTCCTCCCACAATTCTAAGAATTGCAGATTAATTCAGGTGTTGCCTGTTGCCTGCAATCTGTGTGGGTGGGAATGTCTCTCGATTTCTTACATCTCATTTAGGGTGTATGTCACTTAAATGCAGGGCTTAAGGTTGACTCTAAAGTGATGAATACTGGTTAAATACTGTGTCTTTGTGCTGCCTATTCTTCCACATAGCAGTCGGACTGTGTTGCACAGTGCTAAATGGGACCATGTGTAAATTTTACTGTTGATAAGAACCCTGATAACTCCTGCAAGGTGTGGCAGGGTATATCTCATGATATAAAGTTCAGTCATTCAAAGGAAAAACCCAAAAGTCTCCTTAAAATTAAAAGTTTAAAATTACATAGATCAGTAACAAGTATACCCTTTAACCTAGTTCTGCAAGTAAATAAAAGTCACATTTACCAGATTCACTGTCGGTACTGAAATTCTATCAATATTACCTTAGGGTGTAACATCAACCCCTATATGATATGAGGCTGATGGGTGGTTGATGTCTCAGTTCATATTATTCTGTTTTTATTGTATAAGTAATACATTTTAGCTGTTTTGGTGGCTGTTTTGGACCTTTCCTACATTGCATTACCTGTAGCTTCCACACTGTCACACACAAACCTCCTCTAGTGTAAACAGTAGGTCATGTTAGACAAGATAAGACCTTGTTGCATCTCCATCTCCGATGTTTGGTTTTGACGTCGCTCCGGTACCCTCAACGCACTGATTACCCAACTTCTATCAGTGAGACTTGGTGGGGCAAAGTAGAAAACACATGAGATCCTCGCAGTAGCAAAAGAATCTATCCTTTATATCCCCACATGCTACCTTGAGTAGAGAGGGAAGAAGGAAAATCAATAAGCAGAAGAATATCTGCAGGGCTGTAATATGACAGTAATTTACAGCTGCTGTAGTCAGAATCACCACTCATGGGAGTTGCCCGGTACGCCTGTATTTATGTTTTGTACTGTATATGGGGATCTTAAGGCACTCCCATAATTCCATCCTCCCCACCTCCACACCCACGCTATGCAGGAAACCCTTTCCAATGCTAAACTTCAGAATCAACCAACTCAAAATTCACAAGATATAATCTGCATGAAGACCAGAAACGCAACCTCTACATAAGAACTCCTCTGAGGCCCAACAGACTAATGGCCGAGATTATATCCTCCTGAGACCCAAGGAAGAAAGTGTCCTTCAATTTTAGGTTTTTTGTCTTTGGAGGAAATAAGACATCTTACAATTTAGATTTTTTCAAATGTATTTTTATTTTTAATTTCACAGCATGTCCTCTTTAGTGTACGATAGATGCAAAAATAAAATGTCTACTACAATGGATATAAATGAATGGGTGGGGTCTCAGGAGGTTAAAAGCGTAATGGTGCCATCTGGGACATCCAAGGTAGCCTATTAACAGGGGGAGATCACCAAGATTGCCGTCTTTTACATCATCACCAATGAGGAACCCTGAGAAAAGTTCCTGGACCTACCTGTGTATTGCATTTTTACTGTATAATGCTGAAAATCAGGCTTTGGAACTGTACACTCAGCCTCTGTGTTTTTTTTTTGTTAATTATTTTGGCTAAGAACTGACTCAGTCAAAAACCATGCTAAAATTGATCAAATATTACCCGTATGTTTGACTTGGAGCCTGCAGTAGGAAACAGGTCAATGTGAAACTTCTGTGGAACTTTTTCCTCCTTCTTCTCCCTTACGCTTGCAGTTGTATCGGTGTAACAGAATTCTGCGGAGGTTGCATAAAGACCTGTCTTTCCTCATTTCTTTACAGTGACCTCGCCAGGGTTATAAACCCTGTATTTTCTCACTGGTGGCCATTGTCTTTTCTCAGTGATAGTCTATGATAATGTCCCAGACTTGGCACTGAGTTCATCATTTCAAGGCTACTGCACCTTTCATTAGGTTAATGGATACTCCAGTATGCCAAGATCTACAGGAAGGTAACTTAATTATCAGTGGAATGATACATTGGGTGTTCACACAATGTGATCTGTACACGTTGTTCTTCTCTTAACTTTAATAGCAGGAATCACAGAAAACAGACAAATAAAACTGCTACCAAAAATTAGTCCTGACTGAAATGTTTTCAGAGTATAATAAATTGGACAAAATAACATACTGTAATGAAAATATTGTGTTTATTTGGAACGAGCAAGCATTACTGAGGGTATTTTCTTTTTTGTTCCATTTTAATGGGTATTGTGGACTGGGATTAAACTGGTCTTTGTGTTTAGAATCTTCCAGAAGGCCCCAACAGTTCCCACAGCCCAGTTGCGATATTTTATTTATTGTCAGAATCACACACTTATATTTTTGAATTCAATGAAGAGAATATTATTACACTGAGAAAAACATAAAATAATATTTTAGTGAATCTTTAGCCTGTGACGGGTTGGGGCCCCATCCCGGGATAGTCCGTTGTGGGATAGGCTATGGACTCCCACAATCCTGCATAGCGGGTATAGAAAATGGTTGGATGGATAAATGGATGGATGAAGAGATGGATGAATGAATCTCTAGCATCCAGCAAAGGTCTGAATTGCCACATTGTGTCAGAATGGATTTTTTTCTTGCTGTCAAGTTGCCCAGTTTACATTTTGTCCCCCGCTCCCTGGCTCCCATAATAGTATGGTATTTGTACAATGAAGGTGACGCCACAAAGACATGCATTACTCTGCAAAAATTTGCCGATTTATTTACTGTCAAAAGAATGTTTAACACCACAGCGAGATACACTGGGACTGAATTAGTCTCATGTTGTTTTTTTAACAAGGCCCCTGGGAGGTACGGTGTCTGTGTACACAAATGGTCTCCTTGTTTCCATCTATACTTAAGTGCTACGTAAAATACTTCTGGGTTTTCTGTTGCCTTCCTCATTGCCTTCTCTCATTCACAGGACAGTTACGACGGTTACACTGTGCAGCTGTTTCTTCTAAGTTTACTGTTGTTCACTTGTAATTCTGTTGCTGATCTTTAAGTAACCATGCTGAGGGAGAATGCTGTGTTAAAATAATATTGCTTAGAATTTAGTTTGTAACTTGGACGAATATGAAAACGTCGAACACTCTGTGGAGTACACATTAAGTACTTTCTATACAGTTAGGGGCAGGACAGGAATGATAGTTAAAGAATTTGTGGAAAGAAGCCTGAAGTGCCGTCTTCTGGTTGACTGACTGGCAGAGTTTATTTTACAGAGATGCTCCAGTTTGTCAGCAACCAAGTAGGAGACTTCCCCGACATCTTTGAAGATCAGTATCTCAGAGGCTCTGCTAAGAATGGGGAAGCCAGTGCTCCACAGCCAGCCACCCCTGCTCCTCCTCCAGCCGCCCTCCCGCCCAGCCTCACCGCGACCACCGTCCAGTGCCTCACCCCACCCCAAACCCCCGTACAGGTCGTGGCCCCCAAGCTGCTGCCAGTGCGTCCCTCTCCTGTCCTCCACCCGCGGCCTCAGTCCATCCTGCACCTGCAGCCTCAGCAGATCCACAAGGTGGCGCTCCAGACACAGGCCGTCCCGGCTCACAGCCCAGGGTTTGCCGTGCAGACTCAGCCCGTGCCGCTTCAGAGCCACGCTCAGGCTCAGACGGTGATGTTCGCCCCCAGCCTGACCACGGCCTCCCAGCCCCAGTTCATCCAGAGCTCTGTTGTCTACCACCAGACTCCCACCCCTGGTTTCCAAGGTGGGCAGATATTTGTGCTTAATCAAATGAGACGTGTATGAATGGAGGATTCTGGTGCTTCCACATCATGCTTATATATATTGCCATCCATCTGTTTGCCCTAGGCAGGGTCACGCGGGGCATACCCTGGACAGTATGCCAGCCCAAATATATAAATATAAAATATATAAATATTGGACCACTAGCTCATATTTTGACTACCAATGGTTAGAAGATCATCTACGTCTAGGGTGTGCTTCAGGGTCGGGTTGGGCTACAGCGCCCCTATCCCTCAACCCTGACCTGGAATAGTGATTGGAAGATGGATGGATGGATGGAAGAAGAAATCTTGGTCTGAGAGAGATGGTTGGGTCACACCTTAGCTTGTAGGCAAGAGCTTCTTTAATTAAGACTGCTCAGCTTTCAAGTGTTTGTTTACCATGGAGAAGGGTTTGGGTGAGATGCATTTTCTCAGCACTGCTTAGGTCCACTCATGCCCTTAGAGGAGAAGATGAATGGCAAAAAATATAAAGCCATTCTAAAGCATCATGATACTGCCACTGAGAAGCACTTCTCTCCTAATGATTGAAATGTTCCCATGAAATGTTTCGGTTGTGGCCCCATCCTCAGTACAAGAATGACCATGGTTTGATGAGCATAAATGACATGACCCATGTGCCATGACCACTCAAGCCATCATATGTCAACTAAAATGATCGTTTGTGGAGATTTTGGGTTGTATATCACCAACAAATCATTGAATTCTAGAATTTCTGATTATTTAACAATCTACTGCATCGTCTCAAAACAGTCAATGACGGTTTTTTTTAGCCTTTTCTGGTAGCTTTTCTGTAGTTTATTTTGCTACTTGTTGAAATGTCCTCTATATTTCTGTTAAACATATATTTATGTATATCATCATTTTATAATCTTAAACCTATTTAAAAAATTGTCACACTAATTTTTCTCTTTTCATTTTCGCTGAAGTTCTACAGCCGCAGGTGCAGAACATCGTTGCGTCACCACAGGTCCAGCCAATGGCATTCCAGCATCAGGGAGTCCTGACACCGGCCAATCAGACCATCCAGACTGTGACCACGGCGCAGCCGGTGGTACACGCGGTACCACAACACATACAGCAGGTCCCGGTCAGTCTGAAACGATCTTCTCTGAGGCTCAGCTTTGGTTTCAAGTGTCAAAATTGTTGATGTTGATGTTACTATTGTCTTGTTGATCTATAAAATGTTTCATAGCAAATTCCACATGCCTGAGTCCAAATGCCAGAACCTATAAATCAAGAAAGCAGAATGGAGTGTTTATATAAACTCCCTTTATGTGTTTTCTGCAGGTCCTGGTGCACCAACCCCAAATAATAAAGACAGACTCTCTTGTTCTCACAACTCTGAAATCTGACGCGACTCAGGTTTTGCCCACCATGCATAACCCACCCAGTATCACTGCACTGACTACCCCCATCCAGACCACCTCCCTGCAAGTTCCGGTGAGTCATTTAAACGTGGCGATTTAGAATCAAAGGAAGATGAGGCTTCGAAAATGAGCTGTCAATCATTTTTTGGTTTAATGCCACTGGAACCAGTAAATCCAGTAAGAACTGAATCAAACAGTCTGTGATTTGCAGAGCGCAGTAGTTCCACCCCTTATGGATTTTGACGCCTTTCTCCACCCAGGACTAGTAAGACCTGTGACTTACATTATGTGTAAGAGCTGCAGCCTTGTCAGATTAATCACTTAGTCTACTCATTTTATCCATTTATTTTTTTCCTATTTTGTCTTTGGTGACCTTTTCAAGCATTCCAGGATACAAAAGCTTTATTGTCATTTGTACAATGAGAAATAATTGCTTTCTTGCTTCCCTGCAGACTTAAACAACATATAATTACAAAATATAAGTACAACAAATGACAGAATAGGGAACAATTACATACAAGATGCATACAATATACATACAATATACAATATATGTGTGAATGGGGGGTGTGTCCTGTGACGACCAATCCTGGATTATTCCCCGCCTTGTGTCTGTAGCTTCTCTGTATAGGACAGGTGGATATAGAAAATGGATGGATGGATGGATGAATGGATGGATGAATGGATGCAAAAACACACGAGTAGGACAAGGTGCCGTGGTTTAAAGTGACAGTGATTAATAAGTAATGTTGGTGATTAGATAATACGCTGGATGGTGGGGGTCTTTCATTATACATCTAATCTAGTCTTGATCCTTTTTGCCAGAGCGAAATTTTATTGTTTTCTTAAATTTCTATTTCTATATAACCATTGTGTCAGGGGGCACGGTGGTGCGGTGGTTAACCCTGTCACCCGGGTTCAAGCCGCCGCGAGGGTTCCATGTGTGTGGAGTTTGCATGTTCTCCCCGTGTCATCGTGGGATTTCCTCCGGTTTCCCCCCATTGTCAAAAACATGCTGAGGGTGACAGGAGTTACCAGATTGCCCGTAGGTGTGTATGTGTGAGTGAATGGTGTGTGAGTGAATGGTGTGTGAGTGAATGGTGGGCAACTTGCCCTGCGATGGGTTGGTGCCTCATCGTGGGGGGGTTCCCTGCCTTGTGCCCATAGCATCTGGGATAGGCTCCGTACCCCCCCACGACCCGGACTAGGCTAAGTGGCTTCAGAAGATGGATGGATGGATTTAACCATCTTTTTCTCCTGTCATTCCGTTTGTTCATTTAGACCCTAATGAGCAGCAATATCCTCACCACTCTTCCGGTAGTGGTGGGCGGCGGAGACAAACAGGTGTCCCAGGTGATGTGCCAGGGGGGGAGCATTGCCATGGCGACGCAAGACCAAGGAGCTGGGCTGGGGGTGAGCCTAGGGTCAGGGGTCGTGATGGAGGGCGAGAGGAAGACCACACACAACATCATTGAGAAGAGGTACCGCTCCTCAATTAACGACAAGATCGTCGAGCTGAGAGACCTGGTTATGGGGAACGACGCCAAGGTGAGCAGGAGGAGGAATGCAAGGAGGGTGGAGCTTATTGAGCAGGAGCTGTGAGCTTCACCAAACTCACAGATAGAGTGGGGTCATAGCTTGAGGTTGGGTGCAGCCTGACCCATGACTGTACATGGTTATTCACATCACAGTCCTGTTCCTCTCGCTGTCTAGATGCACAAGTCGGGGGTCTTGCGGAAGTCCATCGATTACATTAAGTACCTTCAGCAAGTCAACCGTAAATTACGGCAGGAAAATATGACCCTCAAGATGGCCAAGCAGAAGAGCAGTGAGTTTTTTTCTGCTTTTAACACTTAAATACAGCCAGGGGATTTATGTTCTGGAGGTTGTAGCAGGATAATGGTTTGTTAATTTAATAACTGTTTAATGACTATTGGTGTTACTCCGGGTATCCAGGACGCTCCCACCCTGACTCTGGGCCATGTGAACCTGAGCACTGTGTAGTGACTCTCCCCCTCTCTACTCCAGAGTCAATACGCCGGGTTGAGAATGTGCTGAGGATGCCAGAAAGGGTAACGATGTCCCCACCTTTCTCTGACTCGGACTCAAACTCCTCATGCCAGTTGTCCCCGTACTGCGTCGACTCAGAGTCAGGGACTCCTATGTCGGAGCACGAGCTGGTGAGCATCACGTGACCCCCTTTGTGGGATTCCCCCCCCCCCACCCCGATTCTGACGCATGACACCTAAAATGTAACCGGAGTGACCTTGTGTTTCGTCCCCAAGGTGAAGAGTGAGCCAGATTCGCCGGCCTCGCTGGCAGTGATGGACCGATCTCGCCTTCTCCTCTGCTGCCTCACCTTCCTCTGCCTGTCCCTCAATCCCCTCCCCTCACTCCTCAGGTTTGGGGAGCAGGGCGGGGTGAGCTGGTCCTCATTAGAAGATGGGCGTGGATCCTCCAGGGTGGTACTGAGTCATCCCAATCCAAGCCAGACCTTCCGTAAGCCCTCGCTCTCTCCGTCAGACGTTACGGGAGTTTCAGGTTCCACCGTTTGAGTGCACAGGACCAAAATACACAATGGGTCCACTTTGATCCTTTTTCACTGTGCAGTGGAATTCCTGCTGTCAAACGCAGTGCGTGTGAGTTGTATCAATGAACTGCCTCAGTGAATCCATCTAACCCAAATAAGTAAAATAGGACTTCATACACTTTCCTCTTACTTTGTAGAACCAGCTGAGCCAGCAAACCTCCATCAATTCATCCATTCACTCACCCATCCATCCACCCACCCATCCATATACTGCTCACCGAGTCCAGCATCGTAGGGCCATATAGAAGCCACATCCAGCTCAGTGTTCTCACATCTCCCCTTCGGTCTGCGTCTGTTACCACGCTGAAGGGAAATGGCTTGTGTTCTGATGTGACGCGTGTGGCGTGTGCCAGCTTCTCAGTGGCTCTCCCTGCCTGTCCCTCACAGCTGGCTGGCTCTGGAGACTCGTGCCCTGGGTGTGCATGTGGCTGCTGAGCGGCGTGGGCGCCGTCTGGGGCTGCGTCAGGGTGCTGTACCTCTGGGAGCCGGTCACCCCCCTGCACTCGCCCAAATCCTTCTGCTTCTGGAGGCACCGCAAACAGGCCGACCTGCATTTGTACAGGGTAGGTGCACGTCTCCACATTTGTCTTATTTTCTTTCCCTGCATTTAGTATGTAGGGCAGCAGGGGGAGCAATAGTTAAGGAGTTTTTGGCCAACAGGCTGTAGGTTCAACTTCTTTAAAAGGAAGCCATCTTGTTTCATATAATTTATAAATATGTTTAATTAAGACCAATGGAGTTGGAGGTCTTTGGAAAAATGCACATACTTAAAAATGTGTAATATGATGCGTCTGTGTAAACATGGAGGATTTAATTGTGTAACACCTCAGTCTTCCTGACCTACCAGTCTCATCCTCCAGACATGTAGTAAACTCAGAGTAATGTGGTTTTGTCTCTCCTCTCCCAGGGCAACTTCCCCGCTGCAGAAGCCAGCTTACAGACCTGCCTGTCTCTCCTGTCCAGGACCCTTCCAACCAACCATCTTGACTTGACCTGTTCGCTCTGCTGGAATGTGATTCGCTACTGCCTGTTCTGGCCGCACCCCTTGCGTCAGCTGGTTCACTGGATTGGAGGGGACCGTGAGTGGGAGGAGTCTCAGACCAGCTCCAGGGACGCAGCTCTGGTGTATCACAGTCTCAGCCAGCTTCAGCTCACAGGTATGTTCATTTGAATAGTCCAGTTTGTTGTGATTGAGAGTTTTGAAATGACTTGTATATATTATATATTTAGATTTTTAGGTGTAATACACGTGTGCAGGGATGTCAGCTCTCATACATCTGGTATGACACTCACACTTTCAGACTCCCACGCAAGAAATCTTGCGGCAAATATGTGTCATTCCATTATAAACCTAGCATTAGCTACATAAAGAGCACTGGGGTAGTTTGCAAACAGTACAGACTATTTACAAGGTAACAAAACAGTAAATAAATAAAAATAAAACAAAAACAAACAAATAAAACCAATTAAAAATCTCATACTAGCCAGCTGCCCACAGTCGGCAAATGAAATTCCCCCTTTTAGGCTTGAACCTATGACCATTGTTGTATAAAAATCATGAATAAGATGGCTTCTCAATACCCCTTAAGAGTAGCAAAGCAGACACATAAACACATGCTCTCTTTCTGTGAGTGTCTTTCTCCCTCTTTCTGTAGGGACTCCCCCCACCCCCCCCCCCAGGTGATCTCTGTCTCTCTCTCCCTCCCTCCCCCTCTGGGCAGGCATGCTGCCCCAGCACGGTGCCCTGTGGGGACTCTGCCTGTCCCTCAACGCTGTGAATCTGAGTGAAGGTGCCCAGGGGAAGGTGTCTCCAGCCCAACTGGCAGAAATCTACATCAACGCTGCCATCGCGCTCAAGGCCACACTGGGGCGCCGCTGCTCCTTCCTGCCTGTGAGCCCCTTCCTGTTTCATCATTTCCTGCCATGCGCTCTTCTTCTCTCCTTATACATTAAACCCATTGCCATGACAGTTGTGCTGACATTAATGTCTAAGACCTGGCTGTCCTTGGTGAGGTGCTCTCATTGTTCCTACAATATTGTAACAGTGGATTAAAGGATCAGTTAAATATAGACACAATGAATCATGGTGCTGTGTTTTGTACTTTATATTTACTTAAGCTCTCAAGTATCGTCATGATTTAACCCTAAAATAACCCTAAAATCGATCCATCCATCCCTCACAGAAAAATATGAACCAGTCAGGTTAAATATCTTAAATATGTTACTGGAAACCTTAAACTAACAATGTTCTGAACCGGCTTGTTCACATTAAAGGAGAGGCATGGTTAGAGTTGATTTCGCTGTCCTGTCCGTTTGATCTTCTCCCTCCGGGTCTTAGGCTTACATGCTGAGCCGAGCACAGAACACGGCCTGTCAGTCAGACTGCAGGCCCCACCCCGATTGGCTGCACTGGCTCTCCACACCATTGGGAAGACAGTTCTTCCTGAGCTGTGATTGGTCTGTCAGGTCCAGCAGCCTGGAGGACATGTATACTTCTCAGAGAGACCCAGGTGATTATAGGCTGAGGACGACTCTCTTGAAGGCCTGGCTGGAATCTCACCTGACCAGCGTAACAGCAATGACTCCATAGTAATTTACTGGCAAAGATAACAAAGCTCATTGGTGAGCAAATTTCCAAAACTCCATGAGATTCTGTGGATTTAGTCAATTCTGGAAATGTAATGAAAGTTGTTTGCTGGATTACATGAGGACTGAGTGAGTTTTGGTTCCCAATACTGTAACATATGATGAGGAAGCCTGACTTTAGGTCATTGGCGGTCTCATCTCAAACACAACAAAAAATAGCTTGAGCGAGTTTTGGGAATTTGCTCTTCAATTTCATTATAGTAAAAACTGGTTCTAGTTATTGTGAACTATTTAGCTGCTTAGCAGAACCCACATACATCATGATGCAACACATTTTCTCATTTGTACGCCAAGACTTTTGTCTGAAGTTAAACAAGTTAAACATACCTGAATTGTTTCTGGCTGATTCTGGTCAGTCACCTGACCCATACCCATCAGCCCTGTGGTTAGAGCTACGCTAACACTTAGCGCATCTCCCGTTCATCACCCCTAGCGGACTCCATTTCCCAGCTGCACCGCTGTTTCTGTCAGAAGCTTCTGGAGCGGGCTGTGTGGGCGCTCATCCAGCCCCGCCCCCAAATGGCCGTGCAGGAGAACGACAGCGGGTAACATGCCAGACTTAGACTCCCTGGCGCCCAGTTGCCACATTTCCCGCATTCATCCATCCCAGCATGACTGTCTGTTTTTAAGGGAGATCTTCAGTGCCTTGGAGCGTCTTCAGCTTGTGGACAGCTGCACGGAGGAGACACGCACACCTTCTGTCTCCTCCTCACCCACAGGTGCACAAGTTAATTGGTTACAGGGTGCCGACATTTACCAAGAATGAATGTATTGTGTGTGTTTTTCTCGTGAAATGTCTGTACATACTGACATCTTAAAAGGCTGCATTGCCTTTTATTCGAAACTTCCTTTTAATTACACACCACAGGTTTTTACCTCTTTTCCCTTTATTTCATAAACTGCACGTTTTTTTTAGTCTTGTTAAGCATTGAAAAGTTGAGTGAACAACTATAAGTGAAAATGTAACTCAAATAAAACATGGAAAGAGTATGTAACTGCATGTTTGACATCCTATTAACTGGTTGTGTGGTGATGGCAGAGTCAAATTCTAGGCTGTCCTAACTTTAAATGCACTAGTTAAATGTTTCATTCCCTGAAACAGAGCAGTATTTAATGTCCCTTGCAAAAGAATGCCTCGAATTTTCACTGCTATTATAACTTTTGCTAATAAAGGTACTCAAATGGTGAACATACTGTAAATGTATTTGTTAGCAAAGAATATTGGGTGTATTTTTAGTAAATGTTGTAACTGTAAAAAGTGAGTAACATGCAAATGTATAAAATCTCAGTGTGCAAAAAAGTTTTGACTGCACTGTATATTTTGTCAGACCATGACATCATGCTTTGGTTCACCTGACTACATAGTTTATATAGATCTACTTGTTTCCCTGCTTAATTCAGTTGGAGACCCCTTGTGCAGGTGGTGGGTGGCCGTCCTAAAGGCGGCTTCCCATTGGCTGCAGGGTGACGACGTGGCCGCGAGCACGTCCCTAGCAGGTGCCGAGCGCATGCCCAGAGTTCTGCACGAGCTCAGGTGGGTTTCGGCTGCTGCCTGGACCTGCCGTTGCCTTGGCGATTCCCTCGAGCGCCATGTGATCTTGCTCTTGTCCGTTGCAGCCATCCTTTACCCAAAGCCGTGCTGCAGATGTGCAAAGCTGCACGGCTGAGCCTGACCGTGCCGAGCAGCCAGGGGGCGCTGGCGTGCCTGTCCCACTGTGATCAGGCCGGTGGGCATCTCTGTGCTGGCAGTTCTGTGGCTCTGGTTCAAACTGGCGACAGGCTCAGTAAGGTACCCATCATGCCTTGCTGCAGAAGCACCCTGGTCACATGATAACTGGGACATTCCCTCTCTAAGGTGCATCTTTGGGTACAGGGGTGAATTTTGGAGTTTCCAGGTGCCATGTTGACAGGGGGCAGTTACACATTATGTGCACGTACACATATGTAACGTGCACTTACACATATATTTAAATGTACTTGCTGAAAGGGGGAGTGTGTGTATGTGGGTTTGGCAGTGGGGGTGGCTGTGGTGCATTGTGGTTGCATTGCATGATCCCTGCAGCCCAATGCAATGTATCTGCAGTGCAATACAGAGACCTCTCAAATGTCATTCTCAACTGCAGAGCTCCCCCTGCTGCCCCGGCTGACCCAAAGCACTGTGTATGGCCGTTCGTCACGCTCCTTCTAGTTCCTTTCACAAAGGCCGCTTTGTCTCTTTGGAAGGGGGTAGAGCTCCTGGTGTGTGACTTCCTGCTCACCCTGAGGACCATGGTGTGGCAGCGTGGCTGCGTCCCTGGTGGCGATCCAGGCCCTGTTTCCTCCTACCAGCTAGCTGGCTTCCAGAGAGACCTCAGCTCAATGCGCCGACTGGGCCAGTACTGCAAACAAGCACAGGGCAAGGTACCACCAGCCAGCAGGCACTGAACACGTCAGCCATGTTCCTATCCAGCATGACGTCATGCGAAGAAAAATACACCATATATTAGTCACTAAAGCTGGCGAATTGCTTAGATGAGCTTTTTTAATAAGGGTTGAAACCTTGTTCAGAGCAGCTTGCTGTTAATCTGTCATTGGATCAATGAGCAGAAATCTGAGAGAGCAAACAGCAGCATTGATCATTCCCTTGTGCAGCTGTTTCTGCACGAGACGACCGTGCGGCTGATGGCGGGGGCCAGTCCCATGCGCACTCACCGGCTACTGGACCACACCCTGAGGCGGCCGACTCCCTCCCGCAGCTGCGGTGCAGGTCACCAACCGGAACCATGAGTCACATGGGCCCATGAGTGGTTAAAATCACACAATGAGCATGATTTGCTTAACTTTGCATCACCCAGATCTTCAGTACACCATGTCATGTAAGCAACTAGTAAAAGAGCAGGAGCAGAGCAGAGCAGGAGAAATATTAATATTAAACTATCAAAAACTACTACTGCGCTACTAACAGGCTACTGAGGTTCAGGGCTATTCAGATCATGGTCCTCAAGGTCTGAGCCCTGCTGGTTTTCCAGCCTTCCTTTAGCTGGGAGACAGGTGTGAAGCCTCTGGCCAATCAGGATCTGTAATTATTGAACTAACTGCCTGGGAGAACTGAAAACAAGGCCCGGATTTGGAATGAAGGGCAGAGTTTGAAGAGCCCTGCTATACATTAACAACTGCTTTCACTGAAAGACTGGCATAATCATAATACTGATGCTGGTTGGTTACAAACACACACACTCACACACACAGGTTTGTAATCAAATTCATTTCTATGGGGAAAACTCTAATCCCAACAATGATGACCTTAACCCCTATCCAGCCCTAACCATATCCATAAGTACACAAAGAAAATACAAAACCTTTGGCATTTTTTGTTTTTTGGCTGCATTCACAGATCTTTGTGGGGACATTTGGTGCACACAATGTAATATAAACCTAATCCACACACACACACACATACGATCCCGTGTCATTCAGCACACATTGCCCATGTATGTAAGCTGAGTTTTGTTGAATTGTATTCTCTGCTCATATGGACTCTTGCCTCCCTCTGATTGGTCCTTGGTAGCTGTCTCCGCCCCCTTACTTCTGTGTTTTTAACTCCCCACAGAAGGTGCCCTGGGTGAGCAGGAGAGGGCCCGTGCCATCCTACTGGCCTGCAGCCACCTACCTGTGCCGCTGCTGCCCCCCCCAGGGCAGGGAGCGCGGCTGCTGTCGGAGGCCAAGCGCACACTGGAGCGCGCGGGGGACCGGCGATCTCTGCGTGACTGCCAGCGAGTGCTGCTGCGGCTGGGGGGGGGCACCGCCATGGCCGCCTCTTGACTGCTGCTTCAGAAGAACTTCCTCGTCCATGACACTGCAGGAAGTGTCGCACCAACGACACCATCAAACTCACTGTGCACATAGGCTTGTGAACACCCAAAGGACGGGTACTGGTGGTGGTGGTGGTGGTAAAGGGGAGGGAGCACGGGGGACTGAATAAAAATCATTGGGAGATCAGAAGACTTCCACCCCCCCCCCTCTGGGAGGCTCTGAGCTGCACAGGCTTTTCCCAACCCTGAACACAGCAAAACAAAAGCAGTTTGCACCCACAGAAATACAGCTCAACAAAATTGAATTCCGGGTCAAAAGATTCAGCTTAAAATTACGGCACTAAGCTGTCTAAGTTATTGCATTAAGACATATCAAAGACATGGCATAACGCCATAGATACTGAAGGCAGATTTATCCAGTTGGTAAGTTTAATTATATGTGATTGTACATGTCTATAATTCAATGTGTAATTCTGCGTGGAGAAGCAGTCTAATGTCTCTGCCAGGAAAGTATGACAGGGAAAGAGAATGGATCACATCAGGACAGGTCCGCCTGGCAACGTTCTGTAACCTTCTGTGAATTACGGGTCTGCTGACCAAACCAAATGCACTTGAATGTCTCCATTTTGGTGTTGACCTTAGATCCCCTCATGTCAGTGAAGGCCCAACAGTGTTTCAATCAAATTAGAAGGATGTTCTAAAAAATTAGGTGACAGTTGGAGCTTCGAGCCCTATGTGGAGTCTTACTTTTTGTATTATTAAAGCAAATGTACAAGGCTGTATCATTATAGCAGGATATCATAGGAAGTTTTGCAGTTGTCGTGGCCTTTTTATTCCTTGAAATAAATAGCTGAACTTGAAATTAGAATTAAGCACTTGGATTTGATACAAGGTACTTTTTTATTATCCAATATATTTTGGAAAGAGACAAAACATTAGCTTTTCTGTGATTTTTAAAGAAACAGGCTATACTTTTGTAAATGGAGTGTAATGCTAATGGCCCATCCACCTGCCAATCAGCAGTCTGCTGGAGCCAACATTATGTTGGTTTTGTGTCAATACAGTTTTTGTGGTGGAGCACTGACACCTACAGGCAGAACTGCCACAGTGCAGTTGTGCTTCTTAAACCTGACTCTGGTGGGCGCTGGCCTGTGCAGGGTTTGTACATACAAGGTATAAGCAATAACAGCATGAAGAGCAGCACTTAAACCTCCTCTACTGGCATAATAATTACAACACGTTTCAGTGCTCAGACACACTGGAAAACCAGCCAGTCACTGTAGCCACTAGGGGCAGGGTTGAGAATCACAGGGATATAGAATCACAGGGCTCTGTTTTCAGTTTCCCTGTCTGTATGTAATTGTTTTATGTTTATCTTTTTTTCTGATATTATTATTTAAATTGTTTTTAAATAAAAAAGGAAAAACTGGGTGACAGTTACCCTTTTCTCTCACAATCTCTAATTCTGGCTTTAGTGAAACAAATCTAATGGCAGTGAAGAGGAGCCTGTGGCACAGATCCTATAAAAGCAGACTCCGCAAAAGAAGAGAAACAGCTTGAGAATTTTCCCCACAGCAACCCAAGGGGGGAGCAGTCTCAGTCATCTGTGGCACAGTGCCAGTCTCAGTCATGTGCCAACACGGCAGCTCTGAAACTGCAGAGGTAACATCCTCTACTACTTCCGGACACAGAAGTCATCAGTGTGTCATGTGACGTTCCGATTGGCCAGGCCAAGTTCACTGAGTGGCCTAAAAAGCTAACAGACCGAGAGCCCTAAGAATTAAACTCACATTTAGGGATGTTTCACAAAACAGAGAAAACGTGAGAGAAGGGAAAGGGCAAAGCTTCATCGAGAGGCTGATTTCAGTTCCCATCTGGATTCCCCTGTTATTTTCTATTATTTGTGGCCATGTATCAGGTAACCAAGGATCCGGCGATTATACTCTAGTTACCAGAAGAGAGGCCATATTTTCTGTGCTATCCGATTATGGTTCATACTTCATCTAGGAATGCTTTATGCCAGTGTTTCCAAGCCCCACACTCAGGAACCCTCAGACAGTCCACATTTTTATTCCCTCCCAGCTCCCAATATACCTGAACCATGTACTTGGTGTTTTTGATAGTCTGGGAGCTGGTAAATCGCAAAAGTTTGGATTGTCTGCGGGTCCCTGAGAACTGGGTTGGGAAAGACTGCTTTATTGTATGCTAATACTTAATGTGGTGCCAATAAGTAGCTTATATGTAAGCATATATCCATCCATCCATCCATCCTCCAATACCAATCAGTCCATTGCATTTCTTCTATCTGCATGTCTTTGGACAACAGGAGGAAAGCAGAACACCCATATCAAACCAGAGCGATGCGGGCAGTACATGTTGATGAAATGACAAATTCAAACTAGATTTGTAGATTTCATTCCTAATATAATGTTTTCTTGAGAATAGAGGTTATCCCAGAATCCATATGCCAAGATGTCAGTCCACCTGAACTGCATGAGGACTTGTGGTAGGAGACCCACAGGTGAGAACATGCTCTCCACACACAGAGCAGGAGATCAGAATCAAATCCATAACCCTGCATTTGTGAGACCACTGCTGGGTGGTGGTCAGTCATCTGCTTTCGCCAGAGACATGCAGCTAGGCTAACTGGTGTCAAAAAATTTCCGGCAGGGCATGTGCATCAGCCCTGGACTTTGGCGTCCCCCACAGTGAATTTTGACGGCCCACATACCAGGAAAATGCTTGGTATGCCAGATGGTCCGTCCAGCCCTGATTTTCACTAAAATAAAAGCAGGTTTTTGCTTAATATTTAAATCGGCCCTCACTTAACAACTTGACTTCTTATTGGTGATGTATTGGCAGAGTTGGCGACAGAAGGATGAGATTTTACCAAAACGAGATGCGAAATGAATTTGTCCCTGCTGGTGTGATGGGTATCTTGTCCTGGACTCACTCGGTCATTTTGCACCGTGACACATAAGACCACCGACATAACGCTCCCCAAGTGCACTGGCAGTGTGACTGATATGAGACGCAACGCTCCCCAAGTGCACTGGCAGTGTGACTGATATGAGACGCAACGCTCCCCAAGTGCACTGGCAGTGTGACTGATATGAGACGTAACGCTCCCCCAGTGCACTGGCAGTGTGACTGATATGAGACGTAACGCTCCCCAAGTGCACTGGCAGTGTGACTGATATGAGATGAGATGAGGTGGGTAGGTCTTTGGTCTGATGCAGTTTCTTTTACATCCATCATACCTATACATTCCTATGGGTATGGAGAGGCTGCTGTGAAGTATTGTTAAAATACATTTGTTATGTTATTTTAAAATTATTTCTAAAGTGTAAAATGTACTGAGGTATTTGCCTTTTGACTCGGTTAGACTGACACAATACCTGCAGTTATTTCATGATGCAATAGCATGTTATAACCAATGACATAATCACAGCCTGGTTTAAAACTTGGTAGAAATTTGTCAAAAGTTGTCAAAGGGTGAATATTTACCTGTTACTGACTGTCTTTGAATGCACGTCCTTCATAACTGCACAAAACCATCGACGCAAACACAAGGCGTTACAGCACCTTGGCATGCGATTGGATGCTGCAGGCATACTACAAGTCAAAATTTTTTGCACACACTGAGACTATCTACATTTGCATGTTACTCACATATCATTTACTAAAAATACACTCAATATTTGCTAACAAATAAATTTACACTATGTTCACCACTTGAGTACCTTTATTAGCAAGAAAATGTCACATCTTTCATTCATCAAAGTAACTCTCTCTCTCGCAGTTATAACAGTAGAGAAAATTCGAGGCATCCTTTCTACAAGGGACATTATGGGATGAAACAGTTAACTAGTGCATTTAAAGTTAAAGGACAGCCTAGAATTTGACTATGCCATCATCACACAACTAGTTACCAAGAGGTCAGACATGCATACATACTCTTTGCATCTTATAAAGGAAATTTGTTTTATTTGACTTAGATTTTCATTTGTAGTTGTTCACTCATCTTTCCAGTGCTTAACAACAATAAAACAATCTGCAGTTTATGAAATCAATGGAAAAGTGGTAAATCACCTGTAGTGTGCAAAAACTTTTGACTGATAGTGTACATAGAGGCGAGCTGTGTGTAAACATGACTGAGAGGTGCAGGAATTAGCTTGGCCCATGAAAGGCCATCAAAGAAATTAGAAAGATACTACAGAGGTGGCCTGACATTGATATGGGTGACGTTAGCAGCAAGGCTGTGAAGTGTTACCAAATGAGAGGGTCAGACCCTCAAGAAATGAATCCAGCAAGTGTGTTTATAGTGTGTTTATAAAGTTTAGATGTTCGTTTATCACTGCCTAAAGAGTCGGGACTCACAAAAGGTGCATCCATGCAAAATACAGTTTTGTTTTATGCCACAGGGATACGTTCCACACAGGTGGAAGGAGGAGCAGGCACAAGACACGGGAGCAGGAATACAGCTCAAATTACTAATTAATGGAAAGATCCTTTACAAGCCTTTGAGAATATCCAGTAACAAAATGTACACATGTCTAATGTACTTCACCCTGGCTGGAACCGGAACGCATTCAATTCATTGAGCTGCTCATTCAGCTGGGAATACGTTGCGATATTCCGCATACATTCTCATACATTAAAATGGGTGTTTTTGTCTTACATATAACTTATTCAATTTGACAAGCATTGCCAAACACACTGAATCGGTAACTTGTAATAACTTGTAGATGTCCATTATATAAGTTTTATTCCAGACGATTAAATGGCTAAATGCATAACATTTAATAGACACGAAAAAGATAGCACATCGTATGTTGCAATTGCATGTGAAAATGGAAAAATAAAAGCACGATTAAGGAAGGGGTTAGGGGGAAAAGGGTCGTCACTTTAACATAAAAGTGCAGGAGTGTTAAAATAATCATGACTGGCATCACGGCCTAGCTCGAGTTACAGAGCTGTAATCCCGATCGCCCGGCCGAGCGAGTGAGAGAAGGTGTGGACAGACACCGAGGCTGAAGGGCTCGGGACAGAGCGAGCTGCACGATGCACTGCTGCATTTCACTACGCTGACCCACAGCCACCACTGCACAGATCGCTGCTGGGTAGGTCTATATTGCTACATACCATGGGTAGGTCTATACTGGTACATACCATGGGGCCTTCAAACAAGTTAAAGGGATAGCGTGTCTGTGTGTGTTTTAGGTTTGACTGTGCTTCTCAGTGTACATTGGTGTGGGGGCTATTTTTTCAAATTCCATATTCCGAGAAGAGTTTTTTTGTCCTTTCTTTTTGGAGGATTACATTTACTAGCTTTTTTCTGCGCAAAAATCGTCATTGTTAAGCTTAGTGGTCTTTGGCATTTGTGAAGTTTTTTTAACAGCATTAATGAACATATGATAGCAAGTCTGCCTTGAATGGTCATCGCTAGACGGTGCTTTTGGCTAATTTGATTCTGGACATTATTCTTGCTCAGATGGGTCAGTATTATGTCTTTTAGGGGAGTTTTGAACAGCCATGATGTCAGTAGGCAGCAGCTGGACCTTCCAAATATTCTAATATCTTACTGTATGCTTTGCACCAGTGACATCATCATCAAGGCAAGGTAAGGCCATATTAAGCATGTGCGTTTGCCCTGTGAAGAGCCTGGAATGGTCTCTTCCACTGTGGCTTTTGTGTCTCTGTACATGCAATGCTTCTACAAGAGCTGGATGTAGACTTAAGGTTGTGTTGGGAGATGCTGCCAGCCCCTTCACACAGCCTAAATCCACCAAGCTGCTTCCAGAAGAACGTACAAAACACGTTGCATGAAATCCCAGGCACTCTCACGTCCGACTACCTTCTTCTGCTGCCTCCATTAATGTCCAGCTTCCAAATATCCCAGTGGATCACCGTCCGCTTCACCAGTTCTGCTCCTCTCTCTTATTCTATCCAACATCCCATCTGTCTGGCCTCTTCTCACACTTCCATTCCCCAACACTCCAGGTTAGCACCTTGGTTCTCCTAGGATCAGACATACGGGGAAGGCTGATCATCCTCTCCGTGTTCACCAGCAAATCACGCCATGACACGGTTGGATCCTGCCTCTTGCAAACCGTGTCGTCAGAGCTGGATGGAAGAGAGTAGCAGCAGGGACGGTTTTGGTCGACACACAGGTTAGAGAGAGATACTCTAATGGTAATACTTTAACCATGATTCTGTTACAGGATTGTGATGTAGGTAAGTAAATTCGTCAATAATAACCTGTAATACGGTTTTCAATTGCACTGTGGTCTTTACATTTTTATAGCCTTGTTAAAGCTTTTCCAAGCAGTTCCCTTGCTTTTGGTCTTATTTACCTTTTGCTATGTGTAGGGTCTTTAGCAAACAGAGGACAAGAAGTTGGACTTCCTCTACGGAGGGCAGGAAGCTGTCAGTCCCTCCGGGAGAACAGCCCGTCACCCCCGTTCCGGCACTACGAAGTGGGCCGCCCCCTGCCTAGCACCAGGCTCCCAGAACCCAAGGCCTCCATCCCCTTCCGAAACCCGGATCTTGGCATGCCCTCGAAAAGGCGGGGCTCGGGTGTTGACCCATTCGGGAGGAGTCCCTCTCCACCCAAATACTCGCTACACTCAAACTTCAGAGTAGGCCCCCAGGGGAGAGGCCCCCGTTCACCAAGCCCTTGCACGTTAATCCCCACCCCTTTCAAACAGGCAGAGTTGGGTGCCTCCCAACAGTGGTCTTTTGATGGCTTCTACCCAAAAGTACAAGTTCCCTCTCGCTCCTCATCTGGAATTTCTAAATCATCCCCCAGACACGGCTCCACTTTCTCACTATCCTCCTCTCCCTCTCGAAGCCCTTCCCCGTTCAAACAGAACGGAATCCCATTCTCTAATTACACTCCTGCACAAGAGAGAGAGGAACCCAGGAGCCCCTCGAAGAGCTCAAATGGTCCAAAATTAGATTCAGAATATTTATGTAAAGATGTTGATACAACCGTTGGAATGACTGCCTCATGCTCCTCTGCATTCAGTGAAACCGGCAGCAAAGCTGAGCTGCACAGCTCCTCCCGTTTCTCTGGCCAAGATGACCAAAGTCATCCCAGCAGCCACAGAAACTGCGAGGCACCTGAGAATTCTCCATCACAGGCAAACTTCATAGCATCTACCTCCAGCCAGGATGCAAGTATCCTCAGACCAACAACGTTATCAGGCTCCTGGATGGGTTCTGTCCACTCATACAACAGCACCACAGCACTCCAAACTTCCTCAACACCTGGGCGACTTTTGGACACCAAACCCACCATTCAGCTGTCGAAGTCTCACACTGCTGCCATGGAAACGGATGACTGGGGTAGGGGCACAAGTGGCAATGAGAGGGGCCTAGAGCTGCGGAGCCCCTCCCCAGAGTACACGCGATCATCACACCAGAGCCCCTCCCCTCAGAGACGAAGGCACACTATCTCCCAAAGCTCCCTGGAGTCTGAATCCAGCCGCACTTCCTCAGGGTCGGGTGTTGCATGCATGAAAATGGAAGATTACGTTGTAATGGCTGACATCCCCAAGACCAAGGTCATATACCCGAGGGAAGCAGCTTGGGAAAAGGGGAGGAGTCAAAGCCACAGTCCCGTCAGGCCATATAAGTAAGAAGTAATCGCAAGCAAATTTTCATATAAGATGAAACAAATAAAATACTACTAATAACCATTCCCAAACAGTACCTGCAAGTTATATCTGAATATTTGCCTGCTTTTTTAGGCAAGAAATATGAGAGTATGCTACATTTATTAACTTAGAAAAGAAATCAGATTAACAATGTTTTGTTATGTTAAAATCCTTCTACCCTGTGGACCCTCATTTGTCCACATTAAGAAATAGTTGCCAAGCAGAGTAACTGATGTAAGACAAACATATCGTAGTTTTTCCATTTCCTCTGTTAGACAAAATACAAGTTAGTAAAGATGTTGCTGATTTCCGTACAATATTTTGGTATATGGTGCACTGTATTACTCTATATGGTCATATGCAGTTAGTCTATATGTCAGTTATCTAGCACCCCTTTCTCTGCTTCACTCTGCGTGGTGGACAGGCAAATTCGCCCAACGGATGGCCATCAGGAGTGGGGCAACTCGGTGGTGGAACGAGGTAGGGGAATGGAAAGAGGTAGGACTCGGCAGAAGAGGCAAGGCGGAGACAGTGAAAGAGTGCCTTGTGTCAGATCCACTGCTTCACTCAGTGCTCAGGTAAGCCCTGCTTCAAACTGCTTCAGACGCAATATACACATCAATACGGTGATTGGCAAATCTACTCTCCAGAAGTATTTTCTGCAACAGTGCACATTCTGCAACAAAGGGCAATAAAAACATACAATAAGGAACACTGACTGAAATCAATGTACAAAATCTATTATGCATTCCATTTGATACGTGTGCTTGTTCCTATATAGTATACTTTTTACGTTACTGCTTGGTTCTCAGATCAGTCCAATAATTTTTATTTTATGTATTTGGGTATTTTTTCTGTCCTAGGAATTTATTGGTAGTGTTGGGATAAATGAGGCTTCGAAATGCATAGTGTGTAGGATTATTATTTATACCGTTTTTGGGATAAAATGGGCAACACAAAACAAGCATGCTGCTTTCATCAGTAGTGGTTGGATTATGTTGCCTGTGACTTATTACAGGGTGACCACCGGGAGGAGACACTGACAGAGAGTGACACTGCCTGCCTGCAGATGGGTCCAGTGGAACACCGACCAACGGAAAAGGCACGCTCGTCTGGGTTTGGCTACAAGTTCCACAATAGTTCCTGCAGAACCTGCGCACCTTAAGCATGTGTCTGGGTGTCTGTTAATTCTTTATTCACTGCTTTGTTCCCGTTACCTTTGTGTGCAATCTCTCTGGCCATCAATCTGTCTGTTAACCCTGAGAGAACTCAATCTGATGTTATCTAAGTGGTCTTTTTACGGTAAACGTTTATGGAAAAACGTTTATTGTGGGTCGGGCTACGTGATAGCCATGTTCCTTATTCGTATGATCCGTGCCTTTAAGCATTCCTGCCGGTGCTGTCAGGGCTTGTACTCAGGATTCCTGACACCAACTCACGTCTAAGAACATGACAACTCGGGAAATAAAATTGGAATATATATTTTTTAAGTGAGTGAATGCTTTACTAAGTAAAAGACTGGACTGAACTGAACGCCAAAATACCACTCCTTATCTTATGTGTCCCTCAGTGCCTCCTGGCCCTGTGATCAGTGTGCATACGTGCATTTACCTTCTACATGTGCTGGGACGCCCTTTTACTCTCCGTTTATGGGCTTAGTATCGCTACGTGCAATAGCCATTGGTTGACTGCGAGGGTCTACCTACTTTACCTCGTGGAACCGCCCAGGAACTAGTCACTTGCCGGTGGCTGTAACTTCTCAGTAATTATAATATTATATACATACAGATGAAAATAGATGCATTTTAAATCAACGCATGAATTTTTTAAAATGCACGTAAAAATCAAGAAAATTTAAATGTGAGCGTTAGATGTTGGGCTGTAGGGATTATCACTTTGCTATATTAATTGAGATGACATATGCTAATCAATCTACAAGCTGAAGCCTGCGTTTCTCTTCTCTTTCACCCCTTGGATCTGGGATCCGGTAACAAACATGACGGTGAGTGTTTACCTGTAATTTTAAACCGTGGAGTTTTCGTCACCATTAAGAACATGCTTTGCTAGTGAAGACTGCTGTTTAATTGATCAGTTACTAAATTGTTGATGGAAAAACAAGTGTGTAGTTTGAGTAACATCGCAGTTGAAGTTTTCTGACAGCTTTCTAGCATCTCACGTATATAGTGTGACGCGTCAATTTAACGATAGAAAAATAGCTTTTAACGGGTGTTTCTGTTAGAAAACGAAACCTTTTAACCTAGCTCTTTTCCGTGTTCGATGTGTTTCAGTACAGGCTCTTCCTGTTGTGACTTTGCTCTTTGAGATTTTCATTAAGAATTAGGCTACCACTTAAGGTAGCATTATGTATCTGACGTTGTCTCATTTAAACTTTGCTTTCTATTTCGTTTAATTCTTCAGTTTTTGTTGGATGTAGTCGGTGGTTCCATAAAGTTTATGTACAACACATTTCTAGATACTTCACAGATTCAATGACAGGTTTGGCCAATGTGTTTTCTGTATCTGGTTGAGGAGACTTTTTTTCTCCTGTAAGAATAAAACATTGGCCGGTTTAATAAAAAAAATGTTTCGATTCATCGTCGGCAGGTGGTATCTCTCTTGGTATTCTTGTAATCTCGGCTTCTTATTAACTACAGAGCTAGTTTTCAAACTTACAGCTGTGTACAAATGAATAATAGACTTCAGACCTATTTATGTAGGACATGTGCATTCAAGGTGAATGATCCACAGCTAAGACGCCGTCTGAGTTCTGCGCAGCATTCAGGCTTTAACTGTGAAATGAAACTGGGACTCCATGTGATCGTCGGAGCTGGTGTTCAGCCAGTGTGTGCATCATGGACGTGATTATTTAGAAGCATAATTTTTAGGAATATCATAGACAAAGACCCATATGCAAATTCCGCATTGTAACGCCTTGTTATGTTTATAATGCCCCAAGAGTAATTCCTCACAGAATCCGCTGCATCTGTTTTTAACGTTGGGGACGGTTTGTTTGGGACTCCTAGGTGTAATTTGAAATACATGGCTGTGTTTCATCCTTACGTTACAACTACGAGTACCTGTATCTCCGATCCATTCAGAAAAGGAGCCAGTCAAACCAGATATTCTCACAATGGGAAACGATTCACTGGACAAAAGGGGGACGTTTGAACTTTTGTGTAGCCTAACTACATTTAATAACATTTTCATTATTTCCCGTGTAGCTCTTGTTGCAATGTATTTCAGTGTTCACCTAGATCGTTTTCAAGAATCATAGAGAAGGACTGCCTCTCCTTCTGAATTCCAGTCACTTACTGGTTTGCAGCTTACTTTTTGGATGATGGTTGAAAAAGAGATTAACTAGAGCAAAAAAATCTGAAATAAGTAGCCGTTCAGATTTGGCCTGCATTGTGATTGTTTTTGTCAGTAAACGTGGATGAATGAAGTCCATTAAGCCGCCTCGCTCTGTACCTACTAGGGTATCTGCAGTGGCTGCGTATATCAGTCAGTGTCTGACGTGCTTTCTGTGGGTTGTGGCTTTAACATGTCAGCCTCGGTTTGCATGCATACAGTATTAAAATAGCTATGAAAATATACACACATATTTTCAGTTGCTTGCCATTTAAGCTACTTTTGTGCACATCATTATTTACTGAAACATCTCCAGTTAATGGTACATTGACATGTCACTCCTGTGACCTGAACCACAGTACCAGCAGTGATCAGACACATATACATAGATGTAGGAAACGCATACTGAGACCATTGTCACTGTACTTCTGTTTTTTCAAAGCTAAGTTCTGAATAATGTTCTCCTTTTCCCCTGACCCTATCTCTGCAGCCTGATCTCCTTAACTTCAAGAAGGGATGGATGTCGAAGCTCGATGACGATGGAGAGGTACTCGGCCTTTCTGCTACTGCTGTTGTGCTCAGTTGTGTTTAGAACAGACAAAAGCACTCAAAAGCAGAGGTGGTGGTTTCAGACTCCCTTGTTGCATCAGCAGGTTAGCTGATTCTTCCATGTGCCTGAGCATACTTGCCTGGATATTAGGCGGACTGGGTGTTATGCTGAAACATTTTGGCTTCTCCACACACCATCAAGGAACTTCTTGCCACTGTGGATTTAAAAATGGGAACTCAGAAGTGTTCCTGCACACAACCTCTGTCCTGCACTTAGACACTTAAAGTTGCAAAGAGAGGAACCCTGAAGTCACTTGGGGTTCCTGCAAGGATTGGGACAGCCCTGGTGTGCTCTTAATAAAATTTCTGTCTGATCATACTGGCTCATTTGAAGCCTCGGCTAGGATAGAGCGGGTCCTGGTCAGTGTCACATGGTGCCTGGTGTGTCTCCCCAGTGGCGGAAGCACTGGTTTGTGTTGACGGACGCCAGCCTGAGGTTCTACAGGGATGCCAGGGCAGAGGAGGTGAGATGAGCTGCCGATTGTTTTTCTGAACGTTTATCCTCACTGTGGTTCTGTACCATGGCTCTCGGTTAAAATTATTTTAATCAGATACTCGATACACATCAAATACTCAGCAAAGTAACTAAGATGCGTTACAATTGATAAAGAAATCAATCATTGTGAAAAATTTGAGCAGTAGAAATCTTTTTGAAATTCACTCAGATTCACTCAAAATGTAGGTACTCTCAGGGTGTAGATAGTCTCATTGCTTGAAACAGGCTAAGGAAATTCCTTGGTCTGGTTCCCCTAACACCTCATTTCTGCACTGGTTATTTACATGCGAGATAAAAGAGAATGGTGTAACTAGAGTTCTTTTTAACTCCTTAACCTGAAATGTATTGTATATGGAGCCTGGGACTCGCTCCCTTCACAAGCAGCCCTTTGATTCCTCAATTTCTCGCGTGCCGTGACATGTGACACAAGATGTTTATCTCAGATGAGCTGCATGTGTCAGTACTGATTTGCAGATAGTTTCACTGAGCGAAGTGACTGAGAGCTAAGCAGTGAGGCTGGGAAATGTAGTGGAAGGACAGTGACAAATTTTCCTGCTTAGAAGTGACGTATAGCCAGACAAACACAAATTCCTGCTAATTTAAAGTACTTGGAATGGTGTAAATTGCTAACACTCGGCTTTGCTAATAAGTCACTGAAGAGTTATGGTCTCTTTTTCATCTCTTTAATGTCATGTCAGAAGGAAGATCTGGACGGGGAGATTGACCTGAGGTCCTGTGTGGGGGTGTCCGAGTTTGATGTGGAGAAGAACTATGGTTTTCAGATCCAGGTGGATAGTACTGAAATCTGTTTTACTTATTTGAATTTGAGGAAATGTTCAAAGAAGTCACGTAGGTGCTGTTATGTATGCTCACAAAAAGTTTCACCTCACTTATAGTGGCGAAAGGAAATACAGGACCCTCAGGTGTTCCTCAGAAGATCGAAGCTTATGCTCTTTATATTATGTGTATATCTGGGATTATATCCTCATATGCTCTGAGGATGGAATGTTTGATATGGAATGTTTGGAAGCGTCTGGATGGAATGTTTGTTTTCAGCTTCAGGTTAGTGTTCATCTCAAATGCTGACTTGTAAGATCCTGCTTGTCCTCTCTTTCTCTTCACTTGTGCACAGACCCAGGGGGCTGTGTTCACCCTGTCTGCCATGACGTCGGGGATCAGGAGGAACTGGCTGGAGGTTCTGCGGAAGAACGTCCTTCCCAGCAGCTCGCCCGACATCATGCAGTAAGTTCCTGCTGCTGTACTCGACTCTGTTCAGATATAGTTTTACTTCACACCTCTGGTGTGTCAGTTTAGACAGCTGCAGAACCAGCTCCCCGCGCTGTGGAGGGGGGGAGGGGGGGTATGGCTGGCCCAGCTGGTCTCGAGCTTGGCCCACACCAAAGCTGGGAAAATGCCAACCAGTCACAGAACTTTTCCATACCTGTGAACCGGAAGTAAGAAAAACTAAAATTTTAAGATGCACATTTGAACTCCTCCACCAAAGCACCCCATGGTCCCACTCAGGTATTTCTGTGGCCCATCCTGCACCTTATGGTCCATCTAACAGTGTGATACAACAGCACTGACTGAACAAATCTGATTTCCCCTCAGACACACACATGCACGCACACTGCTGGTGATATGCTGTCTAAACCAGGTTTGCTGTAATTTGTACTGTGTACTCGGCCCATAGTGAGTCACTGCATGCAGGGAAATATGCATCATCCTCATTCATTACTTTTCTTCCTGTTTTCCAGGCTGTCAGACAGCAGGAGTGACAAAGAGATCCGCACGTCCTGTCCCGTTTTGCCCGCTCACAGGGACTCAGGCTCTGAGGTTATGACCCCCACCCCGCATCAGCTAGACTGTGTGGAGCTTGCACCGGTGATGGAGACACAAGCCCCCGCACAGCCCGTCAGCACGCCGGAGACCAAAGAAGGCCTGGACAGGGAACAGGCCCGGAGGCTGGAGGACAGGACCCGCTGGTTCCAGGCTGCGGTTCCCGCCAAGGAGCCGCCACCTGGCAGCAGCCCATGGGATACTGTGCACCTGAAGAAGGGGACAAGCTCCGCCTCCACTCTGGAAGAGACGCTTGAGAGGAAGTGGGTGGAGTTTGAAAGACTGCCTCTGCGGGAGATGAGGTCGCTGCCCCTGATTGGTTCCTGTGCTAACCAGCCTGCCAATGAAGTGCTGTTGAAGGAGGTAGTAGGAATAGACTATATAAATCAATAATTAAGTCTGGGAAGAATGGTGACCACACAGAATTTGTCGTTGCCCCACACGTTAAAACTATCACTGGTGCATGAGGTCACACATTCAGAGATGCCCAGTGTTTGATAGGTTAGGTGCTGAAGCATCGAGGCCCTCGCTGGATGAAGAGTAATCGCAAATGGAGGGATTGATAGCTGAGGTTATTTGTCCTGCTGTGCTCCAGCTGTGCGTTAGTGATGTCACCCTCTGTTCCCCTTCCCTACCCTATCAGGTGGCCTTGCTGAAGGCTCAGGTGGAGCAGCTACAGAAGGTGAGGTTTGCAAGGGAAGGTGGGAAGTGTGGCCTAGAGGCCCCCTGTGGCCGAAGCCTGGAGGCAATGGAGAAGGCCCACAGGGAGGTGCTGGAGGAGCTACAGCGGCGGCATGAACGGGAGGTGAGGGAGCTGGAGGTGGAGCGCGACCGGCTGCTTCGGGAAGAGGCCCAGGCCACGGCGCAGGGTGAGTGGGTAGGGAACCCCGTTTGGGTGGCGAGGTGCCAGGCGAGGCTGCAGCGGACTGGGCTACTAAGCGTTTACGTTACTACCAGGGACCGACATAACTGATACTCACGCACACATTCACGGTGTAAAGGATTAAATACTTCTTAATTTCTTGCCATGACAGAGCAAATGTGTATTTATATTATGTGCATTTGCACTTTTATGACAAGAAATGATATCGCATTTAATCCTTTATACCGTAAATGTGTACTTACATTTTTGTGTTTGCATTTTACGTCTTTCGCAGACGCTTTTGTCCAAAGCGACATACAAGTGAGAGGAGCACATTACAAGCATATGTTCTGTGGGGGAGTCGACTAGCCATAAGTGCAGCTGCAGTAAAAACCTAATAAGGCTATTCAATGATCAAAAGTGCAATATTAAGGTTAGTAGAGGAATTCATGGAACAGATGGGTGTTAAGGTGTTTCCAGAAGGTAGAGAGGGAGTCTGGTGACCGTATATGGTTCAGCAGCTCATTCCACCATCAAAGAACCTCACAAGAGAACCATCCAGAGTGACTCTTCTTGTAGGGTAGAGGGAGCTTCAAACAGCATTGGTTTTCTGACCGAAGGGGCTGAGATAAGTCTTGAAGACCCTCTTATTGGAGATGGGTGTCTGTTAATTGACGGACCTGTAAGCCTGTCAGCAAGAACTCGAACTCGATGTGAGCGGCGGTGGGCGACGGTGAAGATAGAGAAGCAGGGGTGTGACATGGGAATGTTTAGGTTGAGTGAATGTCAGACGTGTTGCCGTGTTTTGAATCATCCGCGGTGGTGTGACAGCAGAAGCTGGTAGACCTGCCAGTAGAGAGTTGTGAGGTAACAAGTGTCTGGACTAGAGGCTGAGCTGCAACCTTAGACAGGTGGTTGTTGTTTATAATAACAATGATGATGATAAATAATTAAGCCCAGTACTTCCTCTTTCATTGTTTTTCTTTTTGTCTGTGCAAATGTTGCATTTAATTGACATTTTTAGTAGCATTTACACATTATCATAATGTCAACCCCCCTCCCCCTCCCAAATTCACACCCCTAGCTATGGAGGTGCTGAAGACGGCCCTGAGGGTGGAGCTGGAGGAGGAAGTGGCGAGAGCGAGGAGACTGGGCGGAGGGACGGCCGAGCCGCAGGCCCTGCCGCAGACACGGTGAGTCACGTGACCTGTAGGTCACACGCACACACCACTTCGGAGGTGCCAGTAGTGGGATTATGGGTAAGCCTGTCATTTGTATACAAAGTAGGTCTGGCAAGCTGAGATGAAAACAGCTGCCCAAATGGCACGGTCGACCCGCCACAGGGCACGCACGCCGTACATTTAAGCATCGCAGTTCAAAAATCACTCCCATTATTTCTCCAGATTTATCTTTTGCTGGAACCCAATCAATGTAGAAGGACATGTTGTGACATTGTCTGAACTCCCGGATGCTCGGGTCCAATTCGGATGCGTTATCTCACTGTGAAAAAGCCAGTGCGTGTGTGCATGTGTACAGCTCACTGGACAGCATGCAGTCGTCGCAGGTTTTGCTGTTTTGGCCGCATGATCGAAGGTGATTCGTGAAATGCAGGCCCCAGGCATTAGGAATGTATGTATGGTGCTGCTGTTATGTTTAATTTTATTTGTTTAGTACTTTTTTGATCAGTGCATAATTCCATATATGTATTTTATAGTGTATATGTCTTTATTCTAAGTAGTAGAGAATAGTACAAATCAACCTTTCTATGGGTAGGTGTGTCCAAACTTTCGAGTGGTGCTGTATGTATGATGTGTGCATTATATACATAAAATTATGGCTTTTTTCATTTTGGGACACTTGCATCCCGCAATTTTAGTTGTGGTCTAGAAGAATGTATGTGTTTAATAGTTTGTTTCCCTTCCCTGCAGTTTGTCTTATCTTGCTGCTGTCGCTGTCTGAGTGTCACTGTTGATAACCCGTTCCAGGTCTGAGCGGCTGGCCCAGCAGAGGGAGCTGGACAGCCTGTCAGAGCGGTACTCCCAGAAGTGCCTGGAGGTGAGGAGGGCGGAGGAGAGACACAGGGAGATGGAGAGGGAGGCGAGCCGAAGGGAGACGGAGCTGGAGCAGCTGAAGAAGGAGAATTGGGTGAGTGAGTAATTGTGGCTCTCTGTCAGCTCCTGGCTGGCTTCATCTGCCAGTGATTATGCATATTCATGTTTGCTATCAGCCTGAAATATTCTATATATGGAATGAAATACTTAATTTTCCATTTGCACAAGTCTGAGTACAGGTACATTGGAATGCATCATTTCACGTATCCCTTCATGCTCTGCTTTGAGACACACGCATGAGGCTTGGGGTCTGAGTGCAGGGTCAGGTCATTTATCTGGTGCCCCTGC